GGGGTATATTTACCACAAGGCAGACAAGGCATTTACCTAGGGCGGCATTTCTCAGGGGGCAGCACTGCCTCTTGGAAGAAGGGATGGAAGAAGGGACACACAGCGTGGGTACCTGGTGGGTTCCGAGAGAGGCTGCAGGTTTCATGACGGTGTATGCACGGCCCAACTCTCGTTCCCGGGGATGTCCATAGCTGTTAAGGTGAGTGTCTCTCTCTTGCTATAGGGGATGGTGGCTGGTGTATGGGGGGCAGTGGTAGTGGAAAGCTCTCTCGGGTGGGAGGCAGGGGTGTTTTTGTTCAATGGGGCGCTGTGAGGGGCGCTGATTTTTTTGTTGCCTAGGGCAGCACAAAACCTAACTACATTACTGCTTACAAGGTCAATAAGATACCCAAAAAAGTACATTGAGTACAGATGGAGGTCAACTCATAGATTGCAAAGCACACTTGATCGTAAACTGCTGGGATTGTGGGGGTAAAATGTGTCCCTTTTTTCGTTAGGAAAAATATATAAAACTAAACTGTCAGTTTTTAAGATCCCTTAGTAGTTTGGTAAGGCAGCAGTGGCTAACTTTTGGATAATGCCCACTGCACCTTTCAAGTAGTAACACTTTTGTGGATTTAGGTTGATACTCCTTGCTCTGCCCAATACAATTTTTACTGGAATACTTACAGGAAGTGCTGTTCCTACCTCCTATACAGTACTTCCTCCTTTATTTATTTTTTTTATTGAAAAGAGACATAAATAATTGTAAAACCAATGATATCACTTCCAGGAAGGCTTTAGGTTTTAAAACCTGCTAGCAACAGAATAGTTTTTGGTGAGTCATTATATATTTGGAAGCACTGTGGTGAACCTCGGTTCACACTGTTGGAAGAGCAAGAAATGTGGTACTTTAAAGTGGAAATCTCTGTGGTATATAGCGTCATGTGTTAATACATAGAAAACTGGAGAAGTTTGAATGGAGACAGAAATTTATGTACTGAATACTGTTTTTAAAACCCAAAACTATTTTTCTAAAGTGACAACAACAGTACCAGTTTTTCATTCTTTCTGATCTGATTATCAAAAACATCTGAATCTGCTTCAGCACTAAAAAACAAATTATGACTACAGAATATTAAATTATTAAATTTCAAAGGTAAATATTAAGCTCTGATAAAAAAAATTGTGTTTTATTCTGTTGATATTTGTAAGAGCCATTCCCCCATATCTCAATGAGCAAACAGTTCTGTGCTCATTTCACAAAGACTCTTCTTTTTAAATGTAGTCAAAAGTCCTCCAAAACATGTCTTTAGTTTTGGGTAGAGATAGACCAGGTCTTTACAATTTCCCATGACATAAACAGGGAGCTCTCTGATGCCTCCAGTTGCATAGTGACAGCTTGACCTCTGCTATGAGCTGAATTTTCTGAGTATTATTACATTGTCTCTATTTTTGCTACTAGGAATCCACTTGGTGACAACAACAATATGGTGTCACCAGCTCCTTAGCAGGTTTAGTTGCTCTTTGGCTTGATAAATGCCCGCCATAACCGTTTTATAATAATTCCGCATGTATACAATTGTGCACATTGAACCTAAAGGATTTCAGAATGTTCCAACAATAAAATGTTTGAAGATTCATTATATTTATCCAGTCATGTGCAGATGAAATAAGTAAACAATGATTTTCTTTTGACATGATAGGATAATTGCAGCAATTGGTCACACATTTTATTGTGTAAACAATCTTAAATTCTTTTGTAAAAAAGCATTAATATGTTTAATGTGATATATAAGACAGTATATAAAGGCAAGGCATGTTAGACATTATGGGGTATGCGTCAAAGAGTATCAGCGATCCTAAAAAGAGGACAAATCGTGGAGGCAATATTGGCTGTTTTACCCTTAGCAAGACTAAAGATCATTTGCACATATCTGGTGTTTACCTGTTGTTAAATGAGCAAATACAGGCTGATGTGAGCTACTGCCCTTTTAGGAGGATTTAATGTACCCTTACACGTCCTTCTTTTCCCTCCAACGTTTTTGGAAAAAGAGAATGGTAGCATTATGGGATGATGTACCGTATAACCCAGATTGCTTTTTGACAGTGTCTTGGGGGATGCATTCCACATTTTTACAGTGTAGGTTTAAAGAGTTCTCCAAAAAATTTTTTTAACTCTTTTCTTTTTTTCTGACTTTAATTAATTTATTTTAAATAGTTTACAAATACATACAAAACCTATATACAAGAAGACAAAAAGAAAGAAAAAAAGCATTAACACTCATACACGACACAAAAGGAAAGACGATAACATACATATAAGAAGGTGTATATCCTAAATCCCTATTCTTCTATCACAACATCCATAATAATTTCCTTTAAAACAGGAACAGAAGGAGAGGTGGAAGTCCCCTTCAATTTTAATATGACTGGTCTTCACTAAAAGAGATCTTGAAACTACCAGGTCCTACTGCATAGTCCTCATCTCCTCTCTTTTACCCCCCCCCCCTTCTACCTCTTTCACCATATCCCTTCCCATCCGACCAACTCATGTGTTCTGACATGAAAAATCATTCCAATTGTGATATTTAATTATTTTTAAAAATGTATAGAATCTAAGAGTTCTCTGTCCTACCCTTCACTAACTCCCTCCTTCCCTCATTACCCCCTTCAGACCCATATTAGGCATTTTATACTTAGTGAATTAGTGGACTTCCATACCATTTTTACTATGAACAAAAATGTATGTGAAATGTTTTCTGCCACCCACCCATTTTCCACATCCTTGATAGAGAGGACAGTACGGTGGGGTAGGGGGCACGTGCAGCCATTCGCGGCCTTGGCTGTCAATCACCGGTTCGCTGCTGGTGATTACTCGCCGGCACCCAATGATCGCCAAGTATCTCCGACGGGGGAGAGACCTGTGCATAAACAACACAGATCTCTCCCCTGTCAGCTCATGCACACTGCTTTGTATGGCTCTGCATAGCACAGCACACAGTTAACCCTTTGATCGCCCCATATGTTAACCACTTCCTGCCCAGTGCCATTAATACAGTGTCAGTGCTTTTTATTAGCACTGATCACTGTATTGGTGTCACTGGGGATGTCAGTGACACCAAGTCAGTTCTTGCCAGTGTCAGAATGCCCACCACAGTCCTACAGTCCCGCTTTAAGTCTCTGATCACCGCCATTACTCGTAAAATTAATAAAAATCCCAGTATCTATACCGCCATTTGTAAATGCTATAACTTTCACGTAAACTAATTAATTTAGACGTATTGGGATTTTTTAGCAAAGACATATAACAGAATACAATTTGGCTTAAATTTATTATGAAATTTGATTGTGAAATTTTTTTTTACTGGACAAGTTTAATAGCAAAAAGTCAAAAATATTGTTTTTTTCCACAAAATTGTTGGTCGTTTTTGTTTATAGCGCACAAAATAAAAACTGCCCAGGTGATCAAATACCACTGAAAGAAAGCTCTACTTGTGGGGAAAAAAAAGCCGTAAATTAATTTGGGTACATCACTGCATGCATGACCGTGCAATTGCCAGTTAAAGTAACACAGCGCCATATCACAAAAAATGGCCTGGCCAGGAAGGGGGGTAAATCCTCTGGAGGGCAAGTACCTAAAGTGTCACTAAACCCAGGACCCTGAATTCATTATATCTTGTCTCTCACAGTACACAGAACATGGAAATGCAATTATTTTAGTAAATATAAATTGATAAATATCTTTTCTCATCAGCAGTTAGAGCAGTCTTGTGACTTCTATCAGTGTCCAGCTGAGCACTGGTTAAAGCTTGTAGAAAGAGTTTTCATTTTGCTCTAGGAGGATGCAAAACCCCTGACCTCTGTCTGGACAGTGCTGATTGGCCCTGTGCTGATCACATGCACTCTCGCAATAAAAAAAAACAAATCTCTCTAGCAATACACACCAAACTGAGCATGTGCAGAGTGACTCCACAAATATATCTTATCAGGAGATAGGAAGGAGACACTGGAAGAAGGGGAGAATCAGAGATGTCAGGATCAATCAGCGTTTTTACTCAATGCAGAATCCCACAGTGAGTATAACAAGCATACTTTACTGCCTATTTTCCCAATATGTCTGATTGGTTGGACAGTGCCACCATGTATGAGCATGTGTTCTCTCACTCCCACATTTTCTTTGAATTCCCTTCCAAAGATCTGTCAGTATTCTTTTTAGGGTCTTATATAAAAAAAACAAAAAACAAAAAGAAGGAAGTGCTGAATATGTTAGATTTGAATTGAGTGAATTGTTCTAATTATAGATTTTTGCAGTAAGTTATTACTACAACTAACTAAACACTGTGTTACTATTAATAGGCACTGCACCTTCATCTTTTAATGTATATCATTATCCTGTTCTGTTTGAATTGAAAGTCAGTGATTTTTTTCTGTATTAACACCTGCAAGCAAAGCTGATCTTACAACATATCTGTTCATGGATAACTGCACTCCCTTTTTATCATCTTCCAGGCTTGTGAACTAGTTCAAAATGCTAAAGTATACTCTACTACAGAAGCACTTCTCTGCAAAACCCTCTGCTGAAACGAATGCTTTGGCAGCGTACAAATGATCAGAATGTTCTTTTAATCAGTATCTACCTAAAAAAAAGATAAATGAAAAAGGATCTATAGAATTGTTCTATATTGTTATTGTTTCATCTAGCAGGGTGCCAAAATAATAATAAAAAAGCAAATGAACTGGTCACCAAGTTTAGCCAACCAAGCCTTGTTCTCATCATTAGCAAAAAATGAGACTCCATCATACAATCACAAAAGCTATAAGAAGCAATTACAGAAACATGTGATATGCTTTAAGTGAAAATAAAACTGGAGCATAGCACATTCTAAGTCAGAAATGCTATATAGCATATGAAAACATAAATGCAGAAACACAATGGGCTAGATCTAATAAAACTGGAGTGTGCAAAATCTGGTGCAGCTATGCACAGAATCCAATCAGCTTCCAGGTTTTATTGTCAAACCTTAAGGCTAGGTTCACATATGTGCGGGTGGTGCCGCTGCGGATCCGCACAAAAATTCATGCAGCCACACCACTCACACAGAGGAATGCGGAGCTGTGGGCAGGTGCCATTAGTTCTAATGGCACGCCGCCCACACTGGAAAACGCAACTGTACTGGGAACCGAGGTTGGATCGCTATTCAGCTGTTTCCTGTCAAACCAGACAAATTTCGATCTGTCTGTGGTTGGCTTAGCATGATTCTGCTCCCAAACACTATAGCTCACTTCATAGAATGTTTGCTAAAATCATTGCAATAAGCTGTTATGTTTAATCAGATTTGAATTCTATCCAAAATGGAGTAACCTTACAGAGCATTGGGGGAGATTTACTAAAACTGGAACACTCAGAATTTGGTGCAGCTGTTCATGGTAGCCAATCAGCTTCTAACTTCAGCTTGTTCAATTACCCCTGGTTCACATATATGCGGCCGTGCGGGCTGCATTTTGCGTAGGCAAGAGAGCCCATTCATTTGAATGGACTCCCATGCCCCGTGATACGCAGGCAAGAAGTCCCTGCACTTCTTCTGAAAACGCAGCCCGATCACTGCTGGCAGCTATAGCCAACAGCAGTGATCATTGTATTCTGCTGGTGGGAAAGGCTCCCTGTGTTCCCTGCTGGCAGAACACAATAGCACTGTGGGAAGAATTCAGCCATTTTCTTTCCTTCAACCTATGGTTGGAGGAAAAAAAATTGCATTATGTATGGCCTTCCTTTATGGAGTTTATGCATCACATAGTAACTGAATTTGGGAACTGTTTAAGATTAGCTTGGCAAACCTGTAAAAAGGTGTCTTGATGTCAACCTGTTTTCTAAAAATCATAAATATCAAATGTTTATGTTTACTCTTACGAGAAGCAATGAAAAAACAAACTACCATGTGGACCGCGCATAAATTAAGTACATAAATTTGACAATACATGAGTACTATTGCTTCACATATACAAAGTGAATAATTGTAACATTCAGTCCCAATTCGGAAAAATAAAGTGCCCAGGTGTTGAATATTAATTAGGGAACTTTGTGCAAAAATGACAGGTGCTCCTCTGTGCTCACTCGGTGCCCCACATGGATGTGCACTCACCGTTAGCCATGGACCACCTATCTCTAGGTTGGTCTTAAGCACTTGGTTTGGGACTAGCCCAATACGTGATGGTAAGAATGGCACCAATATTAATTCCTGGGAATCATGCGATCTGGCTGATAGTAACCAATAGGATGGTGACCAGGGTGGATATAAATGACAGTGTAGTTTCAGAAGAGCCTTTTTAAACTTTCTCCCCTCCTCCCAGGCAGTAAACCAAGTTTCAGCATGTGAACAGACACAAAAGCAAACATCCCATATAGTATAACCATAAAAAACTTTAATGATGGGGAGAAATTATAACAATTAAACGCACAAGCAAAGTGCCCATAATCTGGCATTCAGTGTATTAGTGATCAATTGATCGTGATCAGGAAACCGGTCGAGGTAGATCGAAACCTGTATTTCTGCTATAGGGCGGTTGGGAAGCTATTAAATGACATGCCTGAGGGATTCCCTTAACATGTACAAACCATACAACCTTATACTGTAAAATTGACATTTTCAAAGAAAAAAAATACTGTTTAAATTGTTGAGTGTGGTTCCACCCAATATTTACACAAGACAGGTCTGGGATTATTATTACAGGTACTTACTGTATATAGCACCGTCAATTTAGGCAGCCCTTTACATTTATATTGCACATTCACATCAGTCCATGCCCTCAAGGAGCAAAAATCTTAGGTTCCTAATCCAACTTTACTCTTACAAATACTAGGACCAATTTAGAGCCAATTTATCTACCACCATGTCTATGGTATATGGGAGGAAACCCACACAGGCACAGGGAGAACATGCGAACTCCAATCAGGTAGTGCCATGGTTGGGATTCAAAACAATGAACCCAGGGCTGCTTGGTGGAAGTACTAACCACTTAGCCACTGTGCATCCTGGTATGAATCTTAAGCGGGAAACCCAACACAAAAAACAAAAAGGTGCCTCTCTCCCCCATATCAGACCCCTATCAATGCATGCAGCCTGGTTGGCCAGGAAAGGGGAAGATAAGCTTTCGATCCCCCTTTCAATCCCAGAGGGAGTCCCTGGCAAAGTACTTTGTTCCTATGTTGGTAAGGAAAAGGGCCTCTTCCTCACAAGGCTGAGCTGGTGGTTGTTGGGGTCTGCGGGTGGGGAGGTTTATAGAAATCTGGAAACCCCCTTTAACATTAACCGCTTGCCAAATGTACTATAGCAGTTTTATGAAGCAGCTCCAGCAGAGGCAGCAGACTGAGGCTGAGAGTGATTCTGTTAGTATACCATCATTTTGCGTGGACCGTTTATTGCCAAAAATGACTGGAGAGGATGATCCTGAGGTGTTTTTAACCACATTTGAATGGACTGCTGAAAGGGAAAAGTGGCCTAAGGAGCAGTGGGCTGGACTGCTTGCCCCATTATTAGCTGGTGAGTCGCAGAAAGCTTATTATGACCTGGAGCCTGACAAAGCAAAAGACTATGAGGTGCTGAAAGCAGAAATATTGACCCGATTGGGTGTTACCCTTGCTGTCCAGGCTCAGAGTGTACATAATTGGACTTTTCGGCTTGGGAAACCCCCCAGGTCGCAGATGTATGATCTCATTCACCTGAGCAGGAAATGGCTGCAGCCAGAGAGTTTGACCACACCAAAAATTGTGGAACTTGTTGTTATGGATCAGTTCCTGAGATCTCTTCCTATTGCCATTCAAAGGTGCGTCAGCCATGGAGACCCAGAGACAGTGGACAAGCTTGTGGATCTAGTTGAGAGGTACTTGGCTATGGAGAACCTGACCTCCTCTTCCAGAAGACTCACAGATTTTTCACCCTTAGACCAGATCATCCCCAGAGGCGGGTAAGATGATACCAAGGGGTGAGGGTGGAGAGAGTGAGAGGGTGGGGTCCTACCCAATGTCTGGCAAGAGCGGCTGGGGAGGTCAAGGCCGCAAGAGGCGCCGAAAAAGGTTATTTGTTACGGCTGCCAACAAGAGGGACATATTGCATCCAATTGCCTAGTTGTGGATGAGCCAATGCAATGTGACTTTCTAAGGGACAGACGTCAGTCTCTGTTTGCGACAGTCGCATGCACTGCCAGCCGGAGAACCGAGAAACATTTATGTAAAATGTCTATTAACCTCCCTAGCGGTATGATTATTTCAGATTTTTGGTGCTGAAAGCGGTACCATTATTTTGCATGGAAATATGTCGTTTTTTTTATTGTAGGCCTGTCATTTTTAGGAATAACTCACTGAAATCTGTCCGAACAAGAGTCTAGTAAACATTCCGGATATGATAACACTTGAAACACGAAATCATAAATTATAATTTAATAAATAATCATAAAAAATAATAATATAATAATAATATATTTAATTCAATAATATAATCAAACCAAAAACACTGAAATTTGAAATATAGCGCCAAGTTCGCACATCGCTGAGCAAAGTCGCAGAATCGTTTTCAGTGTCTGATGACGAATTTCCCCACAAATCATTATCACTCAATTCTGCAAGTGGTTCTGATTTACTATCGCTGTTCTCTAGCTGGTCTAAAATTGATTTTGACCTAAAGGGACGCTTTTTGGACACCATGGACTTTTCCCAGTTTCCAGGCAGAAAGAACAGCCAAAATGCAGGCAGGGCACAGGACAAAGCAGTAGGGACAAAATGTATGTGAAATGCTTTGAAACAGCAATGTTTTGCTATGTAATAATCGTTTTTAAAAAAATGACATTTTTTAAAACTTTCAAATTTGCCACCGGTTCCGGCGCCCATACGTCCCCACGTCACAGGGACAGGAACACGGAAGCCGGATGCCGGCATCGGCTGGAGGAGATGGCTGGGGACGCTGCAGGGGACACATCGCGGGAGCGAAGGACAAGGTAAGCGCTGCAGGGAATCCCTGAGCAACGCCACAGGGTAAGCCCGAGTGTAGCTCGGGGATACCGCTTGTGATACTGAAATTTTACCCCGAGCTACACTCGGGAATACCGCCAGGGAGGTTAATGGAAGTAATGTTGTTGTGTTTCTGGATTCAGGGAGCCTGGTAACATTGATAAAAGAGGAATTAGTCACTACAGAGGTCCCTGGTCATAAAAAGGTGACTGTTATTTGTGTGCATGGGGTCACCAGAGAGTATCCAGTGGCAACCGTGTCTTTTGGGACCTCCAGAGGTAACTTGTCTCATCAGTTAGAGTTGGTGCCTCACTTACCACATGATGCTATTGTGGGGAGGGATTTTCCAAAATTCTGGGAACTCTGTGATTGTCCTGACCCCCCCCCCCCCCCCACTGTCTCCCCTTCAGACCAGGAAGGTGAATCTCAGGAATCCTCTGAGTGTAGTGAGGTCTCTCCCGAGTTCCCCTTATCGGTATTAGCAAAGGGAGACTCAAGGAACTAGGGAGGAGCCTACCTCGTCAGACGAAAACATACCGGCTGTTGAGTTTTCTGACTTAGAGGTTCATAGGGAAAATATTGCCACTGAACAGTTAAAAGACCCCACACTGATAAAAGCACGGGAAAATGTGGTAAAAATAGATGGCGAACTAGTGGCGAACTAGTGAACCCAGACTTGCGCTTATCCATACTTCCTTGTGGAAAGGGATCTACTATATCGAGTCACTCAGGGGGCAGAAGAAACCATTGAGCAACTGGTGGTGCCCAGACCTTACAGGAAGTTGGTGTTGGAATTGGCCCATGGACACATCCTTGGAGGTCATTAGGGTGCAGAGAAAACACGGGAGAGAAGTATTGCAGAGGTTCTATTGGCCTTGGGTTATTGAGGAGATAGAAAATTACTGTTCCTCTTGACCTGTGTGTCAGAAGTCGGCCCCTATGCCCCATTTCCGTAGTCCACTCGTACCTCTTCCTATCATTGAGGTCCCTTTTGAGAGGATTGCAATGAATTTGGTAGGTCCACTGGTGAAGTCCGCTAGGGGGCATCAGTACATGTTGGTCATACTCGACTATGCGACTTATCCAGAGGCAATTCCGCTCCGAAATACCTCTGCCAAGACGATAGCTAAGGAGCTATTTCTCATTTTCAGCCTAGCAGGTATTTTGAAGGAACTTTCTTTGGGTGGTATTTGAACGCCACTGGGTTTTTTTTATTCTTTGCGATAAAAAAAAGACAGAAAATTGTGAGAAAAAAACTCAATATTTTTTACTTTCTGCTATAAAACATATCCAATAAAAAAGTAAAAATTGAAATGTCTTTATAAATGTTGGCCAACATTCTGCTAAATGTCTTTGATAACAAAATACTAATAAGTGTACATTGATTGGTTTACGTTAACGTTATAGTGCCTACAAACTATGTTATATATGCTGGATTTTTTTTTAATACTGCTAATGGATCAGAGACTTATAATGGGACTGCGATAGTTCAGCAAGAAATGTGACACTAACTGATGCTGGGGAGAACTGAGTAACTGCCAGTGACATCGTCTGTCACATTAATACAGTG